AAAAAAAAAAAAAAAAAAAAAAAAAAAAAAAAAAAAAAAAAAAAAAAAAAAAAAAAAAAAAAAAAAAAAATCTAGTGATTGATGCCCACAATGAGGTATTAGACCTCACCAACACCCAAGCCTCGTCACAAACCACTCAAACTCTCTAGAAATTTGACTATTCTTCTAAAGCTAGAGCCACCACAAACACCACAAAGAAACTTGCATGCCACAAAAACAATGCCCTTCTCACGAAAAGGTGAGCTCAGGAGAACCTCCTCAATCACTGCAAAACATTCCCAATGCCAAACCAAACATAAATTGAAATAATCCAACCAATGGGCCCAATGGGACTGGACAACCAGGAAACCCCACAAAAGGTGATACAAATTCCCAACTCGACGCCTACAAAGGATGGATGCACCATTGCATGAATAACACAAGAAAAGAATGTCTCCAGATGCGGTCTACCTCTCCCATGAAAAACCTGACACATCGAAAAATATACTTTCCTATGAATCTTCAAGAGGAGAAAGCAAAGGCAGAAAGGGGGAGGAAGGCCTAACAGCAATCTAAAGAAAGAGGTGCAATATAATCTATTAGATGGATCTAGGGTCCAGTACCTAGCGTCCCTCCCCCTCAAAAAACACAACACCCTTGAAAAGTCGAAAGAAGACACAAGGCCTCTCAATTAGAGAGTGTGCAAAAAAACCCAAGGGAAGCGAAGTTCCTCTTTGTTCGACTTTTCGCCTTGTATCATCTTTATATAATTGGGAGTCCTTGTATGTTTCTGCTTCAATCTCCTCTTTTCTGGGAGGGACCATGTAGTAAGAATGTTTGCTTTTGGCTTCCTAAACATTTGAAGGATTTTTCACGTGGTTCTTTTTTTTCCCCTTCTAAGTGGTCCTTCTGGCTCTCCTTTATTTTCCTTCTTATGGAAGGTCAAAGTCTTTATATAATTGGGAGTCCTTATATTGCCTAGAAGGTCAAAGTCTTTAAATGGCAAGACTTACAGAGAGTGTCACCTTCCATCTTATCATGATAATCTTTTGGGGATAAGGGCAGCACTCTGTGGAGTTTTATACTATTTTAAGGTGAATCTAGATTGAGATAAACAACAGAATATTTAGGGGGAGTGGAAGGAGTTTTGGTGAGGTTTAAGGCCTCTCTTGGTGCGTTTGTATTTAAATAATATTGTAATTGAGACCTTCCTTGTTTTGTTAAGTTAGGGTCTAACGTAACTCCTTTTTTGGGCTATTATTTGTTTTAGGCCATCTGTTTTTTTGTTGTTGACCCGTGCTTGTTGGTCCTTGGGAATTCTATCATTTTTCTTCATAAAAACTCAATTTCTTCAGGGGGGGAAAAAACTACTATACATCACTTCCCTAGGCCATCCACACGAGGACAAGAATCTAGCATCAAATATTTCCCATATCTAGCTAGTGATTGATGTCCATGAAAAATCGAGTTGAATTTGGCTATACAAATGTGCTAAGGGATCTAAAGTTAACCATGTACTTAGTTTTAGATGAAATCAACATAAAATAAGAAGAATTATGTAACTATCACAATTTAACAATTGTTGGTTATCTATTAGAGACATGTTTCAAAAGAAAATTCACGTTTCGAAACTCATAGTTATCACAAAGTAAGGACTTGATGTCAAATTATCTACAAATAGACTGGCAAACAAAAAAATAATCTCCAACTCAACAAAGCCTAGCAGGTTGCATCAGAAAGATAAACTCGTATGTAATACTACTACTAGCCTCAAATTCTCCTTCTTGTTTTTTTTTTTTTTTTTTTTGAACTAACAGGAAAACAATAAATGGGGGAGGACTTCAGATATTCCTTACGGATACCATACCCATAAATACATGTGCAGAGTAAGAAAAGGCAGATATTTTGAAGCATTACAATTTTCAACTAAAATGTCAAATTAGATGTGCGATGATAAAGACTATATTCTGAGAAATCAGGGATTACTTGAATAGTCGCTAAGACGCCACAAGGGCCACCTTCATGCTGCACTAAGCCCATTGACGTTTCTGGATCGGGGCTAAACCTATGGAAAGTTCTTACGTATTAGCCAGTGTGGGTATTGAAATGAACATGCCATACATGTTTTATTTTTCTTATAACATAAAGTAAAACTACGTAAACCAGTTTTTTCAAGGAAAGGAATGGTACATTTGAACCACAACGCAATTAAAATTTGCCAACAATTATTTAAGTGGAAGTGAACCAAAATTGATGAACTCAAGAATGAAAAAGAAATGCTGTAATATATAAAGAATCAATTTCAGATACAGATATATCGACAAAATAAGGCACCTTTTGAATTTCTAAAATGTGACGCCCTATTCTAACTATGAGCCGTCTATTCCACTTGCAGCCCTCTTATGCCACAATATCGTTCCTTTATCATACAAAAATCAAGTTGCAACATAAAGGATGATAGCAGAACCAGGACATATATTAGACTAATACCCATCCCAAGACCTAGACTTCCCTCAGAAGGCGATGCTAGAACAGAGAATTAGCACACCTTATGCCCTGATTGCTCCATTGCGCAAGTATTTCTTTGGAAACCTTGTCCCCGAACACCATTGAAAACAACTGGTTCGCTTCACTTTCCAACATTTTTTTCCCCAAATTCACGTCCTTCACACCGAACTCCTTCTCTTTCTTCACCGACTTCGATGCAGAGCCAACTGCTTCGGAATAGCTTTTAGAGGCCAACATTCGCTTCTCAGCAGCAGCAGCCATAAGCTCCCGCTGCATCATCCGGGTCTTCACTTCCGATGACTCCTCCGATGAGAAAGTCGGAGCTCCGACTGGGGAATCCCTAGGCTTGCTACGTTTGGGTTCCGGCGGAGAGAGCTGCTGCATGCTCATCCGTAGAGCTGTCCGGAGGTCCTCCTCCTCCTGATCCGCCATTGAATTCCCGCAGATCCGGGAGCAACAAGCCCTAGCCTAGCCAAATTAAGGCGCACCAATTCCAACAGCTTAAATCAATAAAATCATAAATCTGTTGCTGAGAATTGAAATCAAACGGAAACAGGACGAATTCGATGAGACTCGCAAAGAATTCGACCCTAATTCCTAGAAGAAGCAAGTGACAGGAGAAATTTGGAAATGATGACGAACATTTCTTTTCCTTCTTTTCTTCTCGCATTTGGGATTTGCAATTTATATGCAATTGCAGAACTGACCGAATGCCAGCTTGGAGTTGAGAAACGGTGTCGTTTAGCAGACCGATTTTCTAATCCCTATNCTTACCCCCCCCCCCCCCCCCTTCTTGTTTCCCTTTCTTTCCACGGGTTATTTTTCTACGTCTTCTAATATACGTGTTATTCCATTTTGTTTTATTATATATTAAAATTAATTTCTTAAAAAACAAATTAAACAATAATGTGATTGGTTTATAAAGGGAATATATATATATATATATATATTGTTACGATAAAATAATTTAAATGCTTTTAATTTTTATAAAATATATGTAATAAGATTTTTTAGCATAGCTAAATTTAATCCTACATATATTTGTTAAATAATACTTTCTTTCANCTTTTCCCCATGTTTTTTTTTTTTTTTTTTTTTTTTTTTTTTTTTTACTGAATTATAAGTTTAATTTGGCCAATTAAATTAGTCGACAATGATTGAGTCTAATATGAATAAAATGGGCAATAAACCGTTTATAGAGTAGATATACAGAATTTCGATATTGAACTTAAAGATGTAACATTCAAAAAAAAAAGTTGTATGCTTAATTAACTAGGTCAAATTTCTCGTATACACATCGGTTTTGTAGCTAATGGTTTAATAGTTCTTAGAAATGTTCATGGGGCGGGACGAGAAATTTAATCCTTATCCCCACGAAATTCTCAATTTATTTTTGCAAGTATTGGGAGGAATTTTCGCATTTTAATATATTTCAAATATTTTTTAATAAGATTATTTCAGTTTTCAATATAATTTAAAAGGGTAAAACATTATAATAAATCTAATAATATTTTCTAAGCAAAAAAAAAAACATGATTTAAGGCTCAACTTAATTTCTAAAAATTTAAATTATATTAGTGAGGCGGAAGTTGGACAAATTGGTAGGGTTGAGGACAGAGAAAATAATCCCCTCTATTTAGCTATCTATTTAGCTAACAAAGAGAAACCTCTCTTCACTCTCCTCTTAATTTTTGTTAAACTAGATGTAACACTCCCATTAACGAGTCATTCTAGCCTCTCTTTTCGAGTGAGGTGTCTATTAGTGCCCTAATCAGATTATTATGGATGAAGAAAGAAAAAGATAAGGAATAAGGAATAAATATAAACTTAGTCCGTGCAAGCCAAATGCATGAATCAAAGACTGACATGTGAAAGAGCGTGTGTCGCGTGTAGGTTCCTTTTTGCCCCATTTGACCTTCGTTTGACTGTTTTTCGCTTTGATCTCAACACTAACCCTATTTTGACTCGAGTGAGAACCTACAAAAAGAAATTTCAGAAGATTTAAAACTCTAACATCTTGAAAAGCTAGCTCGAAAAGGCATGGTTCATCCTGATAGGCACGCAAACTTTAGGCAAGCAATACTTGTAGGGATCACTAGGATGTTATGAGATGGTTAGAGTATGCATGTTTAAGACTTTAAATGGACAATTTTAGATGAGAATGCATTATCAATATGTTATGAAAAATGACCATTGTGCTCCTAGAATGAGGTTATGAGATGCATGCTGATCTTATTTATGAGTGGGGCAATATGGACAAATATGATACACAAAATGTAAGAAATTACCAAAACGCCCCTATTTTGAGATTTGTGATTAATGTTTTTTATATGATTTTCTATTGTGTTAGAAAGGAGAATGGACTTTTGTGATCTATGCTTCGGGCTATTGATGGATTTTATCTAGATAACATCCATCAATAGCCCGAGGCATAGATCACAAAATTCCATTCTCCTTTCTCTCTATTGACCTTGTTTGTTTGGATGAATGTTATAGTTTATGTGTTCAATGCTTTAGGTGATTAATATGATATCTCCCTAACAAGCTTGCACAAGTATTTAAAATATGTATATCATTCTCTAGGTAATATCCCTAGCAAAGCACGCACAAGAGAACTGGGTTAAGTTTAGGGCACTACAGTTAGAGCGACTTACATGTTGATCTAGGTAAGTATGTTTCTAGTAGACCCTACATCCTAGGATCGTAAGCAACGATCAAAGGCTTAGACCTATGTGCACCTAGAGTATGGAATAGCTCGATGAGCTAGTCCTATATGTCCTAGAAACAAGAGACGAGTTTAAAGCCTCCTAGCACCCTTAAGAATCTAGTAAACCTTCATACATCAAGAATGACATGTATGGTATCATCAAACATCTAAGTTTAACTGTGCCATCAGAGAGCCCATTAAAAAATTTTAGTGTATAAATCTCAATATCATGTTTGGAGATCATTAGAGCCATAAATCCTTCTAAAAGTCCATTAGAGACATTTTTGTCATTTTCCACCTTAATCTTGGTTTACCATGAAATAAACCCAATCATTTATATTCTTATAAGTAAGTCTCACATTAAGCTTCCAATCACTTGAGGTTCTTTAGATCATGAAACATCACAAGGACATCATCATGAATAAGTCTCATACAAAATTTCAAGTTATTTGGAGTTCATTTAGATCATGAATTACTATAAGGTTCTACTAGATAAAATTCTTAACGCTCGTTAAGGTCTTCAACATGCTTCTAAAAAAAGTAGAATTTTTATCAGTTTAGCTCATAAACATGATTTAAAACTTTCAACATTATAATATTGAGTTTTGATTGATTTATTTGTGTTGTTGGGACTGTGACATGATATGAATGAATAGACCACGTTAACTATGCATGATGAATGTGATTTATTGTTGATATTGTCCCCTAGAAACATGATAAGAGGTTGATTAGTATTATGTAGGGACAGTTGAGGCACGGTCCCTAATCGTAAACTTACATCGACTAGTGAGGGTCTACTTCATATATAGGAATGTGACGTCACCCACTTAGGGCATATGACACATTAGAGGGCACTATTGAAGGAACTCTGATTGTGCCTATTGGAGGGCCTATCTTGCACGGTTAAGAGTTTGGAATGACTTAGAGATAAGGGGCTTCTTAGGTACTATTAGGGGAGCTTCCAACTAACACTCAGTAGTAGGCATGTAAGGAGTTTATAAGGAGACAAGAGGCTGCCAATAAAGAGTGACAACTCCTTCATACCTACTGGACTCACTCTTAGAGTCTGAGATAGATATGAGCATCTCGACTTATGCTTAGGAAGTGTGATTACTAGATGGACCGTGAGAAGTAGAAAAAAAAAGGTCAAGGGCACCTAGAACCCTAATTATACTCAAATGGGTGACTTACACCCTTGGTGAGTATATGAATGCAAGAGCTTAATAAGGCTACACTGTATAAAGCTATGAAATTGACTAACTCTAGGACCCATGACAAAACACATAACTTTAAGAAACACAAGATAAAGAGAAGTTTCGATGTGAGCCTATAACTAGGTTGTTTACCGAGTATTTTAATACTCATTCTTACTATTCTTCGTTTTTCAAATGGATCATAGATTATCTGTCATTGGCATGAGAATATGGAGCCATTCAGATGCAAGGAGAACCTTTAAATTGAGTCTTCGCTTTCTATATTGATATTTTGAATGTTGTTTTTAGAACTCATGTCATTTTGTAAACGTTTTATATAACTTACACGAGCATGTTTGTATGTTTTAACGTTTTCAATGTAAGACTCCTCTTATTAATATTTAACTAATTCTTTGTGTTATCTNTTTAACAAAAAAAAAAAAAAAAAAAAAAAAAATGATAGCCCTTTTTACCCTTACATCTACGTGACAATCCACCATTTGAAGCCTTAGAAAGTGGGTTATTACACATGGATTGTCTAGTGTGACATGAGCCATATATGTCATGATGTTGGATGATCGTGGAGGTCGAATTTCACCTTTTCATGAACATATGTCAGTGTTCACAATGATGAGCATAACCAAAATTCCTAAATTTCATGATTTTTGATATGGAAATGTGCTAGAGAGAGATGAACAACTTGTCTCTAATGATTCAGAGGATGCGGAGGTTGCTCACCTTAAGGATATTACGCCGAGAGGCCTATGTATAGACACATGTTATTATATATAAGGTGTATGAACGTGTTTTGGTATCTATTATGAGCATTTGAATGAGCTACTTACTGAGTATTTTTATACTCGTGTATGTTACCTTTAGCTATACATATAGTATATGAGTTGCCAATTAGTGATGATGGCGTCATAGAGCTAAGAAGATATGAAGTTAGTTTTATTAGAGTTTTGTTTAGGTTCTAGACTTTTCGGTGCCTACATCTGTTGGACTTACTTGTTGTAAAGTTGTTTTGAACTTATGTTTGTAAACGATTTTGGTTATTCAAAACGTAATTACGTTGGAATAGCTTAAACTTCTTTCAATTTAAATATGAGCTTTTGTTCTAAAATTAAATTCGTTTTCTTAGGTACGGACTTGCAACTCTCGTTGTAATATTTGGATCAATGCAATGTGTATAATAAATATATTATTTCTCAAATTAGTTTATTTATTTATCTATTTATATGTAAGAAACTAAATCATAAATATAAAAATTAAATTACTAAATATTCCATTACCCCATTCTCAACTAAAAATAAATAGTAACTTTTCTAAATTTCAACAAGTGAGCTGTAAAAAAGATTTTATTATATTTAAATCGTATTCTCCTTTTTCTTTTCCAATTTTCATCACATGACAGGAAAAATAAAAAATAAAAATCTAAACCCTAGCCTTCTGCCTTCATTCCCTCAGCAAATCTGCTCTGTTTCTCCTCACTCTCCGATATTGGCCGCACCTGCTCGCCGGCACGCCCACTATCGCCACTTTTCTTTCTTCTCTACGTCTCTGCTGCAATTGCACGCCTCCGTAATCGAATCTTAATTATTTTCTTTGTTTAATTTGGAATTAGGTCAAATCTTTATTTTCAAATCCTGCTTAAATCGACTACTAGACGGATGGATGTAAATATTTTTTGGGATCAAAACAGGATTTCCAATCAGACTGAATTTCAATCGACCGCTTTGATTATGTGATTCTGCA